GACGTTTCGAGCGTTAGCTTTTTTATTCGTTACGGTGGCCAATTTACAATTTCAACTGAGTTGATATGACCAAATTACCTTGTTACCCCCACCGACGCAGCACCACAGTTTCTTTAGAAACTTTTAGCCTTTATTCATTGATCCTTCATCGGATTGTTTGGTTTTGCTTTAAACATCCCACTTCAGTTAATTTGACAACCAGGTTCAAATTTACCATGTCTTAATTTGTTCACTTGGTACGTTATGCCTTATTTAATATATTTATGTAACCGCTTATTTTCAAGTTTGCACAGCGTACTATATAGTGAGACAGGTAATTAAAATCAGGTAAGAAAATGGCGGTGAGTTAGTAAGGTTAGTGTTTTATTTTTACCGAAGTTTTAGTCACTTGTAAAATTGTACTGCAAAGAAGACTAGTACCAAAGTGCAAGAAGTTTTCTTGGGACGTGACCAAGTTAAAAGTGTCTACGTCGGTGGTAATGGAAACAATAATTAAGACAAGCAAGCTCATGAAAGATATCAGCAACTAGGAACGGACGTAATTGATAGTGGACGCTGATGTAACACTGGGTGTACACTGATTGTAAATGATAAGTAAAATTCATTGTGAAGAATATGCCTCCCTTTAAAAAAAACTAAATGTTAATCACCGACGTTGGGCGATAAACAGAAAAAGGAAAAGAGGGTTTGAGAAATCTTTGGCGTCAAGATAAATGTATTTCCTCAGTTTGCTTCGTGAATCATCATTTATAAACATAAATTTTTACAAAAATTGATAAAGACTGACTGAAGAAAGTGGGCCATTTATGAAAACCAGAGGTAGCAAACCCTTTTTTCTTTTTTTTTATTTTAGATGACAGTTAACTGAACAACGCACTAAGTAAGCAAATCTGAGAAATATCGTAATTCAGTGTATGTTAAAACATACAACAGCTGTCAGGGCGAGTTACGAGGGGCTATCACTCGAAACGTCGGCTTTGACCACTCTTTACGGTGGCCAATTTACTTTATCAACTCAGTTGATAAAACCAAATTTAAATTGGATATGTCGATACTATCGGTCGACATATCAGCTGATACTCAACCGATATATCGACCACTGAAGTATCGCCCGACATGTCGACCGACATCGGTCGCCTCTCGACCTCTCGGTATACCATCGACAGTCCACCGATACACCACGACTGTTAATTCGACCGATACGGTTCCGACTGTTAATAGCAACGTAACGTAACGGTCGAGGTGTCGGCCGAGTGTCGACCGACATACCGACCAAGTATCAACCGTCCGATAGTGGCGACCGACGATCTGCCGACTTGAATAACATGGCGACCGACAGTCGAACGATACCACTACTAAACTAGTGGTCGACCGACAGATGCCTAAGTTCACATGATCCAAAACACAAAATTGTTTGCCACTCGGCTTTCATAAATCAGTATGTACATGCACTTTGCTTTGATGGGTGAACATACATCTTTCTTGAATGCTTTAATTTAACGTTTTAGGTAACTTACATAAATGTAATCGAGTTAGAGTGTCAAGATTGACATTCTGAGTCGCAGTTCTTAGACGCATTTTTGATGATTAGTCCCACCGCTGCGGTCAAGCATAACTTACAAATTGTTAAATTTTTGTTTTGAGGGGTGGAGGCAGGGGCTGGTTGAAAGTGTATCCTCGACAACAATGGCTGAAATAACAAAAGTGAGTAAAGTGTTACAACTGTTCAAATATTATTTGTTCCTGACCATTATGAGGCGAACTTCTTTAATTTTATAAGTAATAAGTAAGTGTACCACTGGGAAATATGAATAAATTTTTCATTCAACATAATATTACACAGGTTGAAAAAAAAAACACACACACACACACACAAGCAGCCACGTGGGAAATCGCATTGCTGCTGGTGGGGAAAGGCACCATGGAGTCCGGTGAATCTTTTGAACCTTCAGTGACATCAACTTAACGAATTTTCAACGATGAACAGCTCTGTTTTAAGTCCGACAGTAAACTCAGCGAAAGGAAACCCAAACATTTTTTTCACAGCCTTTGGAGTGCTTGTGGTCACCCTTGCCATGACGTTAACACTTCTCGGCGATTGTTTGATTTACGCTGCATTCAACAGCAACGCGAGTCTTCGCACCAGGGCGAACTTGTTTTTCATTTCGTTGATAACAGCGGACATCTTTCAAGCGCTGTTCGTTATGCCTTTAGAATTGGTTCGTATCGTGAGTGAACCTCAGTGGCTCATCAGTGACACGATGACAAAGTTATGGAACTCTATGTTCGTTTGTCTTGGCACGGCGTCAGTCTGCCATTTAGCAGCTATTGGCGTAGAGCGATACGTAACAATTTCACGGCCCCTGACACACCATGCGACTATTATCACAAGGGAAACGTTTGCAGCAGTTTTACTTCTTTGGATTTACGCTATAATGAGTGGTATTCTCAGTTTCATTGCTTGGAAAACGCCAAACATTCCAAATCCTGGTTTTGCCATTTCATTGACACACGCTATTCCACTGTTATTGCTGGACATTTTGATGCCGTTTATTGTGTGTATTGTTTCATACGCCCTAATTTACCGAATCTCCCGGCAACACTCGTGTAAAATTGCTCTGTTGTGCGGCTGGACTCCGTTGGACGACCACAAGATGCAGATTGTGAAGGAACGAAAATGCGCCAAAACGCTCAGTCTTCTTGTAGGAACATTCACGATATGTTCACTACCGTTTTTTGTTTTTCATGTCGTTAACGTTTCTAGTTACAACGAAAGGCTCCCCTATCGCCGATACGCGAGCCAGATGGTCAAATGGCTTTGCTACGTCAACTGCGCGTGCAACTGGGCGCTGTATGGATTCTTAAACCAAGAGTTTAGGAAAGTTTTGTTTGTTATGTTCAAGAAATGTCACCTACGTATCAAGTCACTGCTGCAGTCAAATCGTTTGGTGTCTCTTCTGTGAGCCGAAAATCCGTCAAAGATGAGAAGGACGACTGAAAAAAAATATAAAACATCCATCAATAATAAAAAAAGAGAATCACAACCATGCTTTGCTTCCTCCGAAACTCGTATGCCTCCGGCCCTCCAGCTTCGGCTTAGGAAAAGTAACACCGGAACTTCCTCGATCTATGGAGTGAATCAATATGTTTTACGAATGTTAGACTCGAAGAAAAATAATAAAGTAGTGTTGACACATTAATTTTCGCGAGAGAGGGTCCGGCAGAGCCCATTTTTTTTTTCTTGTTGCACGCAAGACTTTGGACCCTCTCTCCTTGCCAAACAGATTTACTCCTGCAGTAATTTTACTGTGTACGTTGACATAAACGCGCTTTGAACAATTTCGGAAGTTGTCCTGTTTCTTGTCTGTTCTAACACTGATCAAAACTGCCTATGGTGGGGGTGGGAGGGAAACTAAAACTTTCTAAAAAGCTAGAATTTAGCTTGTTGCTTGCTTGCTTGCTTGTTTGCTAGATTGCTAATAACACGTGTGCAGATACCAAAGCGGTCATATACTGAATAATAGGGACCTTACGCAATCAGGACGGCAACGCCAAGGAAGACTTCGATTAAAAAATGAATTTCTGCTCTTAGTTAGAATTTCAAAAATGGTTGCAGGAGCTCACTGTCTTATACAGCGCCACAGCTCAACTTCAGCATGACGTATAAAAGTAGCGTTGAGTTCCAAATGGAAATTAAAATAATGACATTGGTGATGCTGGTGCTGCTGTTCTGGCTGAGTGTTTGAAAGACAATACATCTCTGACGGAGTTGGATTTGTCTTCTAATGGAATTGGTGATGCTGGTGCTGCTGCTGTGGCTGAGTGTTTGAAAGACAAGACAACTCTGACAGAGTTGGATTTGTCTGATAATAAAATTGGTGATGCTGGTGCTGCTGCTGTGGCTGAGTGTTTGAAAGAGAAGACATCTCTGACAGGTTTGAATTTGGCTTTTAATGAAATTTGTGATGCTGGTGCTGCTGCTCTGGCTGAGAGTTTGAAAGACAAGACATCTCTGACAGAGTTCAATTTGTCTGATAATGGAATTGGTGATGCTGGTGCTGTTGCTGTGGCTGAGTGTTTGAAAGACAAGACAACTCTGACAGAGTTGGATTTGTCTGATAATAAAATTGGTGATGCTGGTGCTGCTGCTCTGGCTGAGTGTTTGAAAGAGAATACATCTCTGACAGAGTTGTATTTGATTTCTAATAAAATTGGTGATGCTGGTGCTGCTGCTCTGGCTGAGTGTTTGAAAGACAAGACATCTCTGACAGAGTTGTATTTGTCTGTCAATAAAATTTGTTGTGCTGGTGCTGCTGCTGTGGCTGAGAGTTTGAAAGAGAATACATCTCTGACGTACTTGGCTTTGTTTGTTAATAATATTGGTGATGCTGGTGCTGCTGCTCTGGCTGATTGTTTGAAAGAGAATACATCTCTGACAAATTTGATTTTGTCTTCTAATAAAATTGGTGATGCTGGTACTGCTGCTCTNCTCGTGTGTGCCCCTGCAGTAATTTTACTGTGTACGTTGACATAAACGCGCTTTGAACAATTTCGGAAGTTGTCCTGTTTCTTGTCTGTTCTAACACTGATCAAAACTGCCTATGGTGGGGGTGGGAGGGAAACTAAAACTTTCTAAAAAGCTAGAATTTAGCTTGTTGCTTGCTTGCTTGCTTGTTTGCTAGATTGCTAATAACACGTGTGCAGATACCAAAGCGGTCATATACTGAATAATAGGGACCTTACGCAATCAGGACGGCAACGCCAAGGAAGACTTCGATTAAAAAATGAATTTCTGCTCTTAGTTAGAATTTCAAAAATGGTTGCAGGAGCTCACTGTCTTATACAGCGCCACAGCTCAACTTCAGCATGACGTATAAAAGTAGCGTTGAGTTCCAAATGGAAATTAAAATAATTTGCCGTCGCGGTTTTGGTTCGCAGACGACGCAAATTTTGGCGATTTTACTTGTTGTTTTGCATAGGACGGCTAAGAAATATACAAAGTTTCAAAACGCACGTGCTGAGCTATTGTTCTGCCAATTAGATGTCTTGTTTTTCCACGTCCTCGTTGCCGTCGCCGTCGTGGTTGCGGAAGGTCCCTAATAGGTAACTCTTTGGTCAGAAGTTCATTTTAAACTAATGATTAGCCCGGAACTTCTTTCATTCACAACGCTGAGACAATATCGAGACCCAGACGATCCATTGAGATTACTCGCATAACTTGCGCTCATTGCAAAAATATATACATCAGCGAAACAGGAAAACGACTAGGTGACCGATTCCGAGAACACCTTCACGACGTAGAAATGAATTACAAAGAAGCATCAAAACCAGTCGCTAGACATTTTAATCTACCTAATCATTATAAGCAGCATATGGTAGTCTGCGGTCTTTCCTTACATTTAGGTAGCTCGGAAACGGCTGCAAAACTCTTGAACAAAAGTTTATCTTCCAAATCAGCACTCTTTATCCTCTAGGTAGTACTAATTTCTTCTTGTTTTTCTCGTCACCATGTTCCCACCAATAGCGTAGCTCCACTTTCTGCGTCAGTACAAACACACACACAACCCACAATTCTTCCATTAGCTCTGACGAAGGGCTAGCGCTCGAAACGTCAGCTTTTTAAACTCTTTACGGCGGCCAATTTACAATTTCAACTTAGTTGATAAAACCAAATTACCTTGTTACCCCCACAGACACAGCACGACGTACAGTTTCTTTAGAAACGCACCCCCTTTATTATTAGGGACTTTAGTAAGCAAACCACGACGGCTACGGCAACGAGAACGTGGTAAAACAATAGATCTAATTGGTAGAACAATAGCCCAGCACATGCGCTTTAAAACTTTGTACATTTCTTAGCCGTTCTTTGCAAAACAACAACGTGAGATCACCAAAATTTGCGTCATCTGCGAAGCGAAACCGCGGCGGCAAATTATATTAATTTACATTTGGAACTCAACGCTACTTTTATGCGTTATGTTGAGTTTGAGGTCTGGCGCCCTATATGAGACGGTAAACACATGCAGCCATTTTCGAAATTCTAACTAAAAGTAGAAACTCATTTTTTAATCGACGTCTTCCGTGGCGTTGCCTTCCTGACTGCTTAAAGTCCCAGATATGCAAACAGCCTGTACCCAGTCTAGACCTCTCAGACGCAGACCGGTGTTTAGATTCACATTAATAGAGTGAGATTAATATTCACGGAAACCACGAGAAACCTTGAACGAAAGTACTGAATAACCACGNATTAAATTGCATTATTGATGAATTATTTTATTTATTTATTTATTTATTTATTTATGGAATTTTAGAATTGTAATTTTGAACTTCTGTTTATTTTTGATTTAATATTTATTGCAAGGCGCAGTTGAATATTTTTATAGAAACTGCGCGGTATAAATTTAAATTTAATAATAATAATAATAATAATAATAATAATCTTACGATTAAGCATAAACAAACAAATCAATATGGCTTAAACTTAACATAATCTCAACAATAGGGTAAAAATTCCATCAAAACGGCTCCAAGACATCTGTAAATGTTTACTAAACTAGAAATAGTTTTTTTATTCTTCATGCAGTTGTAGAAATCTAGAATTCAGGGAAAATTCATAGAAACTGCAATGTTTACAAATACCGTAAGTCACGCATCATACATTACTGACCCGTGATTGGCTTATTTACCGTTTAGTCGCAGGAACTGGTCGCACCAACAGTTCACACAAAGGGACAAACATTTGTTTCATGCGACAAGTCCCTGCGACTGGTCGCACGAATTCAAACCAGTTTGAATTCGTGGACCAGTCGCAGGGACCAAATTTTGGTCCCTGCGACCACAGAAATGTGTAGTTCACACGAAGTGACTAGTCGCATGAAACTGGTCGCTGGGACTAGTACTAGTCGCAGGGACTAGTCCCCTCGTGTGTGCCACGTTAATTTATAACACCCTATTAATAAATGACTAACGTTTTACGACACCGGAACTGAGTTCTGTCGCTAACCAGTTTTACTCGCGACTGGAAGTTAAAGGACTTACATTAATGTATTTTTGTGATATATCAAAACTTTCATTTATAAACGACAGAATTTGACCCCAATTAAGGCGATCGTTTAGTTCTTAATCAAGGATATCTGAGACTTTTGACGGCTAATGTTGGCTTGCTTATTTGACGGTTGACGGTAAAAGTAGGGACTTAAAGATGCAGGCTCTACTACGGCGACCGGAAGTCTACACTTTCAACTTGTCGGACTGCGCATATCTAAGGCGGGAATTCACGCCGTACTCTTGCCATCTGCTACGGCATAACCACTTCGTTCCCGTAGTGGTGAGTACGTCAGAATTTGCTGTAATATTTTGTTTAAAGTCTTAATTATTTGAATTTTTTCCTTGTGATTAAATTAATTGCGTTTCTTTAAGAGTTGATGAATCATGGATAAACGCAATTTGGTCAAAATTTATTTGTAGAAAAAAGATGTCAAAACCAGGGACTGCTTCAGGTTCCGCCGCTAACACTGCCAAGCGGCAGTCGTAAGTATTTCCTTATCATTTTCGTTTGTTTTATACTTTTTGACTCAGTCGAGTTCTTCGGTTTGCTTACCGGCACGAACCTGGTGGATACTGATACGTGTAACAAGTTACTAGAATGTTTATTTATTTCTGTTAATTTGATTTTTACAACAGGCCAATGGAGTGGGCAACAGCGCACGACGTGTTGCTGTGCAGAGAAATTTTGGTACAGGACTTTTATAAGTTCAAGAAAGGGAGTAATGAGAGAGGAAGAATATGGACGCAAATTTCCGAGAACCTCAACAGTGTAACTGCAGTCGAATTCAAAGTGAATCAAAGAGCGGTAAGAGAGCGATTTGACTTGCTACTCAGAAGATTTCGACAGCAAAGCAGAAAAGAAGAAAATGCAAGTGGTATATCTCCCGAACCAACAGAGCTCGACGCACTGTTGGAAGAAATTTCTGAAAGAGAGAAATTAGCAGAATCAACGAGAGAATCCTGTAGCAGAAGGAGTGTCGAAACAGATCGCAAAAGAGCCGAGGAGACGCGTTTCCAAGCCTTGGGGAGAATTGGTAAAACACAAAGAAGGGCCCATGAGGACTGTGAAAGAAAAGCGAAAAGGCAACGAAGAGGCGGAGCTGATGTTGCCGAATTTCTACGGGAAAAGTCAGAAAAGGAACTTAAGATCCGCGGAGAGGAGCTCGCTTTGAAAGCAAAAGAAGTTGAAAACGAAAAAGAGAAGCAAGCAGAGATGTTTAAAACCCAGGAGGCCATGATTACAAACATGGCAAAGCAACAAGATCAGATGCAAACACTTCAAATGGCTTTTTTTGCAACAACAGCAACAACACACACTGGCCATGATGGTGTTGTTAGAAAGACTTGCGAAAAAATAGTAACTTGGTTCCCTAACAGAGATTGACAATGGATTGATTTACTCTTTCTTGTAAATTTATTGCAGCTTCAAGCTACTGATTTTCTTTGTTTAGTGTCATTTTGAATTTTCTATTTTTCAAGTAGGGGTGAATTTTGTTGGGTTGCTCACAGTTATACTTTCTTTGTATTCAAATGAAAAAAAAAACCCCACAATTCATGTAATTCATCTCACAACAAAGACGGATTAACTCTCTTGCTTCCTTGAAGGATGACATTTTTGCCAATAAAATGACTCCACAACGCTTTGCGCTCTTAGCTGCCGCCGTAGTGTCGCTGTAGCTTAACGATTCGTACTTGGCGGGAAATACGCCGTACTCACCCTTGTCGATCGCGGCCAAGGTAGCCATAGTACAGATTCACCGTACCATATCTTAAAGTCCCTAATATTACGTTTTTGACGGTTGAAAATTTATATTTTGGCCATTTGACGGTTAACCCCCTGTACCCTGCGAGCAGAGCCTTTTCTTCTTTTCTTCTTCTTAGCATCTCATTCTTCTTCTTAGCATCTCAAGGGAAACCCCTTGAGATGCTAAGCTTATATGAGGCCCAGGATCTCTCGACGTCAAAGGATCGACAAGTAACGCCTGCCCTAAAGTTTCTTCAATGCCTGAGAATGCTCGGCGTCTGCGCTTCCGGTTCAGTCATCGAGACAGACACACTCTTTTCAAAGCCTAAACTTTGCGCTTGAAATATTTTCAATATTTAAAACTACTTCGACGCGTTTATCAAGCGAAAAGGGCAGCTCAAGCAGAGAAAAAATACTCTGGTGTAAACGCCTCCTGCTCCATGACTGCTTCTTCGAACGTCGCATTGTACCTAGATGAGTTTCCTCGATTTGTCTCCATACAACACTATGGTATCACGCACGCAATGTGGAATAGCTCTTGCACCTGTAGGAGGTTTAAACGTAAGTCTTTCAGAAGACATGAAAGATGTTGTTTATCGCGAGCTGAAATCAGGGAGGGAGGCGATCCCTCGTTTGGAGCGGAACTTTACTATGGTCATGAAGGATTTGTTTGAAACAGAGCTTCTGTCTATTTTTTATCTACGAGATCCATATGCCATTTTTTCAGGAAAAATCAAAGCAAATTTGGTTGGAAGCGTCAGCGAAGGATTTGGTTTGCCTGAATATATTCATTGGGGAGAAGACAGTTCCTCCAGAGTTACTGTTCGAGATGAGGCAGATTTTAACCTTGTTTGGGGTTGGCTAAAACTTGAGGAGGAATCTCCAAGTTGCAGCTCGACAATTCAACTAGATGGTTTGGTCGAATTCAGCTCTTATTTCCCAGGTTATGCCATGATTAAGTTGGTGGCTAATGAAGCAATAACTCGTTGGATAGATCTTTCCAACATTGCCATCAACTGTGATGGCAGTAAAGTTGAAGTTTACCTCCATCCATCAGCTGTCACTGATGAATTTTACATGTCTTTGCATCTGAGGAGTGTGCTTAGTAACTTGATCGTGAACAGCATTGGAGACAGTGATGTGGAAAATGCTAATTGTTACAAATCTGATAACAACTTTGAAAGAGAGGGAAGTGGAGAAAGTTCTCACCATGACCAAACACAATTTCACAATAAACTAGAACTTTCCTTCCATAAATTCAGTGAGTCTGCCAGTGAATCAGGAAGAGGCCAAAAGACTCTGTTTTTAGTTGATGAAGGGGGGCCAGCCATAAATGTTGCTGTCTTTTCAAGAGAAGGAGGAGGTATTATGCTGGATATGGCATTATGCCTGTCACTTCCTTCATGGCCAACCGTGGCTCGTGGGTGGATATCAAGGCACAGACCTAGTGGTTGGCCAAGCCAGGAATTGGTATCTGCAATAACAAGTGAAGGATGCTCAATGGTCCCTGTTAGTCCACTGAGAAGTCAGACTGGCTTGGAATGGCGTATATCCTTCAGCTTGGCAGAAAAGAAGCTTGCACAATCATTGAATGATTGCCAGAAGGCTTGCTATTTGATTGTGAAAGGAATCTGGAGGCATTACCTTAAACATCCAAGTAAAAGAGGATTGCAGTCTTATCATCTCAAAACAATATTGTTTTGGGCTTGTGAAGAATTGCCTCCAGGTGAGTGGAGGAAAGACAAAATTGGTATTGGAGTGTTGTGGATATTACAGAAACTGCACTGCTTTCTTGTGCGCCTGTCATGTCCACAATATTTTATTCCAGAGAATAATCTTTTCCAAGACATTGAGGGAGATGTGCTGATGTCCACCCTTCAAAGAGTCTCTATAGCCATTTTGTCACGGCAGCAAGTTTGGTACAACAATCCTGGACTTTTAACCATGTTGCCACCAGAAAACTCCAGAATGCACCTGACCAAACTTGAAGACCAGGCCTTTCTTGAGGCCATTGAAAGTGTGTATAACTTTTGCTTCACCTTGGCACTGCATAAAGATGAAGAACAAGCTGAGGATTTTGAGAAAATGATGGCTTGCAATGTAAAGGAAGCATTAGAGAAATGCCTACAGTCTCAAAGGAATTGGCACCATTTGATTGCAGTCTTTTTTGCCATTTTTGAGAAAGCTGTCTTTCAACAGTACTGGGATTCCTTTGCTGCCATGAGGAGATACCTGGGTGGAAGGATACCCCCTCGATTGATTGCTCTAAAGAAACCAATTCCACTGGATCTGATCATCAAACTTTGTGCTTGGCTGGATATGTTCAAGTTTAGTTTCAAGTTATTTGTTAATTTTGTTAATGAAGAAGGAATGAAGGATCTGATAAATCAGGAAAACAATGAAGAACTAGAGTCATCGGAGGAGGACTGTGATTCTGAGAGTACAGAAATCATGGGAGACTTATCACATCATGTCCTTTCAAATCTAACTCAGGCATTCATGGAAACTGGTGAATTTGACCTTGAAATGGCTTCTGATGATGAAAGTGAAGTTGATGAGGAATTCAATGACTGAAATGAACACTACCTAGTAACAATTTTACATTCATGGCGTTATTCTCCCTTACTATGTTTATTTTTAAAAGACAATGGCAGGATTTGCTTTCTAATTTGAAGAAAAAGTCAGGCAGATTTCAGATTTAATGGTTAGTGTTCAATTATAAAAACCTATGTAATCATTCTTACACCAAATTTTTTTTGTTGGTTGGTGTGTGGTGTGACAATCATTGCCTCACTTCTGGCTGTGTGGAACATCACATTCTGAATACAGGCCAAGATGACTCACAAACAACTACAGACTAGTCATTGCTTGTAAATGAGATTGGATTAGAATCTTAGAAAGGCATATTAAATGTAAAGAGTATTCTCCATCCATGCCTGCTTGCTTAAGCGATGGCTACTCTATCATTATAAAAAAAAAATTGCATGACAAACAAAAGAACTGTCCTAAATGGTTTCAGAGGTCTTCATCATAAGCCAAAGCTCAGTTTAAATATATCTTATTAACCAAGCACGAGGGCTGTACTGGGAGAATTTTGGCCTGAGGTCTTGACAGTACGGACCGAGTGCAAGCGCAGCTCGGTCCATACAAAAAAGACCAAGGGCCAATATCCTTCCAGCACGGTCCCGAGAAAGCTTGGTTAATAAGAGATTTATTATACGACTGAAGTTCAAAGGGACACAAGTGCGGTATCATTCGGGACCATTCGTGACAGTACCTGGTCCAATACTGAGAGAATATCGACCGGCAATAGAGCATTTTGATTGGTTGATTTTAGTTATTGGCCCTCTGACTGCCCGAGTCATGTAATAAAATACATTATTCCACCTAGTAAGAGGTGTCTTAAAAAAGCACTTTTCAAAAGTGTTAAGTTCAATATTATTGTCCAGAAACAGTCTATGATTTTCTCAGTTATTATTTGATCTTATTGAATCAATGGTAGAAACAATTGCTGACCAAGTATTTCTCTTTAAGTACAGAATGCAGAATGATTTGGATCCTGGTGACTTCATATATGGCACGTGCCAAATGTTTGATATTGTAATGAAGGAGTGCATTTGACACACCCATCTAAAGACTGTACCTAAACACTGTACACACGTAGATAGTTTTGAAAAAATTATATTTGGTCAGGAAAATTGTTAAGAAATTAGCATTTTGGCCATACTAACTATGTTTTGGCGTAAAACAAAATGTGGTAAATTCAAAGGAATCCATTGACATTTTGGATGATTAATTTTTTCAGAACAGTGTTTATCATGTAGGACATACAGGTTGCTGAGTTGCCACAAGAAATGACAGAGATAAGTCTGAAGACAATTCCTGTTGTGTTACGAGAAGAATGTGTTGGAGATCATTCCCTGTCAGGATTGTATAACCAGAAGTTTAGGAAATTTAAATTGGCTTGAATTTGTGTTATGATCACTGTACTGATAAGGTGATTTGCAGCAACCTAAAATTGGTAAAGTCTATTACATGCTCAATTTTCCCCTGAACTTGTCTTAGCATGAAGCTTCCTAGAATGCTGTGTCTACCCTATAGACAAGATGCCAGGCTAAAGCAGTGTTACCTCTCAGCATTTTTTCAGGTTTCCCAGACAATTAGTAGCTACTCACATATGCTTCTCATGTGACTTAAGAGTTAGTGCACTGGACACCAGGTACAGTCCACATTCAAGACCAGGCTGTGTTTTCGTGTTAGATTCTTTGGCAAAACGCTTTTGAAACTCTTACAGTGCCTCTCTCCACCCTGGAGAATAAATGGGTAACTGTAAATTGTCAGGGAGGGTCAGATGAAATGCTGAGGGGGGGAGGGGGAGGAGGTAATCTTACTAGTTATACTTACTGGGTAATACTCCCAGTTGCTTGATGCTCGATGCTTCATGCTCACTCCCACAAGCTCCTGATAGATGGGCCACTTAGCTCAAGTGTAGATTTAACCCTAAGAATGATCAGTATCTAATTTCTCCTTACAACACCACCCCTGAACAAGACTCTACACTAACTTTTCAACTTACTAGCCAAGTGACTGGTGACATCTTAGATGTTTTTAGATGTTACAACAATTTCAGTCTGTTTACTAGCCAAACTGGCTAGTGGAAATTGAAAACCACCAGCCAAAACTGAATTTCTACTAGTCTGAGGCTAGTGGGCTACCATTAGTGTCGTGCCCTGCCTGAATCACACATTAAGGTCATAAGAATAATTAAAATGATCAACAACTACAGAAACTCCTGAATGATAAGCAGATTCTCCTTGTCAGCATCTGAGGAAACATATAAAGAACAGTATGGAGAATATGTATACTGATGTTAAGGAGTAAAGGGTAACCTACCTACCACATATACTCCTTACAAGGGTGAGGCACTGTGAGAGTAATGTGGCTTGCTGTGCAATGAGTATCAGGCAGGGTTCAAATCAACACCTTATAATGCACTGTTCACAGTACTACCCACCTGTCCAGAATTTCTCTCATCCCGGCACACCTTAATTACGTGTAAAACTGAAGAATTTCATTGCATACATATGATTGTTAGTGGAGGCGTGGTGGCCTCATGGTTGGTGCGCTCGACTCCGGATTGAGTGGTCCGGGTTTGAGCCCCGGCCGGGACATTGTGTTGTGTTCTTAGGCAAGACACTTTACTCTCACAGTGCCTCTCTTCACCCAGGTGTATAAATGGGTACCAGCAAATTTAATGCTGGGGGGTAACCCTGCGATGAACTGGCATCACATCCAGGGGGGAGTAGAAACACTCCTAGTCGCTTCATGCTACAGAAACCGGAGTTAAGCACCGGCCTAATGTGCCACTAGGCTCGTAAGCAGACTTTACCTTACATACGATTGTTAATGCACACACTGAATCTGTCACTATAAAAATACTTTATTCCCTTCATTTTCTAATTCACAGCTAATGGATACAAAAATAAATCCATATTACTTCTAGTGGTTGGTGTCTTTTCTTACCTCTTCTAAAATAACTATTTTAACCTCAAGGACACTGCAAGGTGTATGCATTTACAACTGGTTACACCAAATCACTGGCAACAGTTCTCTTACAAAGCAAAGTGTACTGCCATCCTGTGCAATTTTCCCAAGATATCCTCTCTGCTCACAAACACTTTACTAGATTGTTTGTCAAAATCAGGCCTAACCTCTGCTATCAATAGCTCCAAAAACTAATTTTATGAACTCTACAATATTACTGAATCACTAAAAGCAAGCATTTTTTGAAATTGCTTTGGGTTTGCTATACATTCCCAAAATAGTTCCATTGACTTGTAAGCCCTTTATCGCAATAAGTTCTAAGAAATACACTGAACACTTTACCTAAGAAAATGTTAACTTAGTCTAATGCAAAGCTGTTGAGTTTAGGTCATATGAGGTCCTTACATCTAGATCACCTACTAGGTATTCCATACATAGGAAATGATTAAAAAATTACTGACAAGGGAAATTTAGACCAAAGATCAGTACATTTGTTAATTGTGAAACAGGTCAATTACAGGTTGAAAAGAACAATTTGACACCTCATTCAGAATGTAAAATCAGTTTACCTCACTTTCTGTATGTCTCCCTTGTCCAAACACCTTCACAAAAGTTTGCTACAACAACTTAAACCGATGTTCACTAATTGCATTATACAAATGAATCATCATGGTAAAGATGAATACTTATTAAAAATACAGAAATTAAGGAATAAGTTTTACCCTTAAATTTTTTTTTTTTTTGGGGGGGGGGGGGCATGTATTTACAAATTAATATAACACATACAGAAATAAATTAAGCTAGCTTAGGCACATTTCTTTTGGCCAAAAATATGCACCTGAGTACATTCAAGTGCCATTTGATCAGTCAAAGGAGCTATAAGAGGCATTCTAAAGAGGAAAATGCAAAAATGAATATATGCAATACCAGAGCATTACCTCCACACTCACTGTGCTTACACTTTTGTATTGCCTGACGTTTCTGGTTTAAAAACAAACCAACAAAATATTCCTGCTGGGGAACCATTTACACTGTAGTTGAAAGCAGCTCAGTTAGTCAAAACACTTCCCTTTGTTCATTAATTTCTACAAAGCCATCAGAAATTGGAAAAAAGCACAAAATATTAACACATAAGAAAGAAACACTACTTAAGTGATGGGGACACTTAACACAAATTGCAAATGAAAATTTTTCAAGATTACACACAATAAAGCTTTTTCAATATGCCCTACATATGCTTACTTGGACTGTGAATTTACTCCTCATTTCAGACATTCTTAGAATGCCATACTAAAACACAACAATTTCAAAAAATTCTTTCACACACAAAAATACTGTATTAAACTCAACAAAAGGTAGTAATACTGTACACCATAGTAAAATTGAATTGTGTACCAAATGTGAGGTTTCAGGTCCTAGAATAATACATTTTATGTTTACTTAAGATCTTCATACCTGAATTTTAAAAAAATTCAATTCTAAATCAAACGTTCCTTAAGTTACTTATCTGCCAAAAGTTATGACAAAAGGTTTTAATCGAAATATTACATAAACAAGGCTAAAAAGTTAAAAAAGGTTAAAACCAAACGAAACCAACCCTGATGATGGCAAACAGCCGAAAACATTTGGTTTTAATCTCTTTTAACTTTTTAGCCTTGTATATATAACATTTCTTAGTAAGCGAACATTGTAATTGAAACAAAACACTTTCAAAACCATGAAGTCTTGAAAAAAATCCAATTGGAAAAAGTTCAAATGTCTTAATTGCTGCATTAATATGGTGACTGTCCTCATCTTTCATACATTGACAGCTACAGAGAATACTTTTCCTGAATTGGCGCAAAATTGCAACATCAATCGATGGCAATTCTACCAATAATCCATAGTATTATAAACAATCAACTAACTCTACCTCTAATCCATCAAACAAATTCTGAACTTCTTAAGGAAGCCAGTATGTAATGTTCATCTACAAGCCGCACTTGATTTTACAACTGTTACAATATTAGATAATATTATGACTTACTACATGTAGCTAAGCTGTAAATACTTGCATGGAAGCTTTGCTGGCTGTTTAGTCACAAAACAACATGGTGTTACATGTAACTGGACACTGCTGACTTTTCCTAGCCACCAACCATGCTAGGTGAGCAGATTTCTATGAGTTTAAGCACTTGAATGGGGATTACCACATAAGCCAACTTTGTGAATCAGCATTTACTAATGTTGTGGTAAGGCACAATGATGAAACAGCCGTGAACCATGAGTGAGGTGCTTAAGACATCTCTACTGCAAAACTGCCTTAATATCTTCCAACACATCTAAGTGCCACCTAACATTCTAAGTTTTGTCATTCATCTTGGACATGATGGCACGGACCCGCTTCTGAGCGATTGCCGCTGCTGAAACGGCATTCTCTGCAGCACCAACTGCATCTCCAGCTTTATCCCGTGATGCCGCAGCTCTTGACAGTGCAATCTGAGATTTCTGTTCTGCTGTTTCTGTAGCATCTTGTGCTCCCTCACAAATTACTCTCAGCCTTTGTTTAAATCTTGTCACGAGAGAAACTAGTGGACCCTTCTTTTTATTGTCTGTAAGCAACTCATCATTTTTCCACTCCCCTTCTAGTTTTGTTCCATCTGGAAAAGTGGCTACACCCAAACCATGGCGCATGTTTTCACTCCATTCGCCCATGTAGCTGAACCCATCAGTATCTTCTACGATACCTAATCCATGCCTCTTGTCATTCTTCCATTCACCTCTATATGTCTCTATCAAGCGAGTGTTTGCCCTTTCAATTTGTCCATTTGAATCCACAGTTTCCATTGTGTAGGACTGAGCTGAACCACTTCCCACTGTACTATTTACTGATCCATTTTGACTGGCATTCTCTGGATCACTTGTAGATCTGGGAGAATGTGACTGCGTTTCAGAAGTCTGTGAGGGTGTCTTGTGGTGACGTGCAAATGTTCTACTGTTCTGACTACTGTTTGGTACAACACCATTAGATTTAAAATTATCCACAGTTGACTGTCTAGAAATACAACGTCTGTAATGCTTTGTACTGCTGCTTTCTCGCTTAACCTCGCCACTTCGGATACCATATCCAGATCGCATTCCTGTTTTCCACTGCCCATAGTAATACCCTAAAAGGAAAGAGAATCATGTTGATTGGAGCATAAAATATTGGCAAACAAAGAGCTGATTTTTATGTTAAGAATCTAGAAGACAGTTTCAGCTCTAATTTTTCAAATACATATTCATCTATGCACAAAAGCATCTAAAGCATTTAATCACAAAGTTTATCGGACAAAGGAAACATGTCTGATGTCACTGGAAGTGCATTGCTGTGGTAAGCTATGATGTCATTTACATTTCCGAAATCTTATTGATAATGGCCTTCAACCTCTCAATGTTATTTGAAAAATGTGGAATATATTTGACAATCTTACTGTATAACTGTGACTTAACAAGTAGTCATCCTTACGGGGCCCGACCAAAATTAAAAAATGATCTTTTTGATTGTTCTCCTTCTTTACATATGATACTAAAAGCTGTTTATGTCTAGTGTGACTAGCATCTAGTGACTACGACTAGCATCTAGTAACTAGCATCTAGTGACTGGCATCTAGTGACTAGCATCTAGTGACTATGACTAGCATCTAGTGACTAACATCTAGTGACTATGACTAGCATCTAGTGACTATGACTAGCATCTAGTGACTAGCATCTAGTGACTAGAATCTAGTGACTAGAATCTAGTGACTAGCATCTAATTTCTCTCTACAACGTCATAACAAATCAAAGATTAGGTTATAAGAATTCTGGAAATGACCAACCATTCCAGATGCTTGAAGCTTGATTAAACAAATACTCCTTTTCAATACCATTGGAAACATATAGAGAACATTAAGGAGAACAAACATACTGATGCTAAGGGTTTACAGGGTTAAAGCCAGCTTCACCTCTCACGTTAATTAAACAAAAAATTTTGATTTTGCAGTTGACAGCCTGCACTCTAGTTAATTTCCTGAAACACCTTAGGATTGTGATAAGAAAACAATACACCCATTTCAAAGGCATGAATCAAGCAACGATAATATCAAAGACTTAGTTTTATTTGCAAAAATCTCGATCATAACTTAATTTTAGAATCCACATCTACAATCTGATATTCAAGTTGCTAGAAAAACAAAAATTTTCTTCATCTATATCCAAATCAGTACAAAATAATCTTGCTGCACATACCATTATCACATTCTTTTACCCTTGCCTAGTTTAGAGCTGATCTATTGAAAGCATCACTGGGAGTTGATTTGAATCATTAAGAATACAAAAGGATGCCTTCAGCTTTAGGACAAAGTGGTGATTGTGGCTTGGTTTATTTTTATGCCTCTGCTGAAGATTCCAGACCTGCTGTGCACAAAATTAGAAGGCTAACTAGTTGATGAATTTTAACAGTTGCTAAATCAACGCCACCACACAATTAAATGTCACACCAAAAGGACCTCATTGGGAGTTTTACGTCAGAACAAACAACAGTGAAAATCCATGTTGGAAATGAATTGTCAAGAATTGTTTGAGTCTACCAAAAAATGGGTTTTTGTATGATATTATAATGAGATCACTGCAGTTTTATTCTGATAAAACAATTCCTGCAAATTCCCACTGATCTGTTCAAAGCAGGAAGATTCCTATTAAGGCATGGGTTAGTACACTGCATGATATGTTTACCCTTTCAAGATTTGATTGGGAACAACCATTCTCCTCATAACTTCACATAGGTAGAATCTCTAGAAAATGGTTCTTTTAGGGGCAGCAACTACAAAAAATGCTTTAAATCTGTTATTCATCACAGAATGAGTAACAAAATAATTAATGAAACAAGCAATTCATTTCCAAAAGAGAACTTCCTAAAACTGTGTGGGAAATACTTGAAACACAGGAGATGTTGAACAGCTATAAATTCTAAGAATCAAATAACAAAGTGGAAGACCAAGATCAGATGATTTGTGGCGATATGAAAATAACTCAAAAGTGCAAATGAGCCCAGCTCTGCTAAAAATAAATAAATAAATAAACAAATAAAAAATCATCTACGGGTCTCAAGGCAATGCCTTTTTCAAGTCATTTGTGAATTTTCAGAAAAAAAAAAGAAAAAAAGGGGAAAATATCACACTGAAAACCTCAGAAATACTCAAGCCCAAGTTGACACAATATGAAAACGATCACCTGCACAACCTTATCAAAACCTACAGCGTTTCCAAAGTGGGGCTGCTCTCAAGAACCAATCCGTGGTTGAAACGAATAAAGTAAAGTTTCATCCATTTGAAAACTCCGATATTCTAAAGTACAAATGAGCTTTGCAATCCATGAATGGGAACATTGAATAATAGACGCCAAAAACACAATCAGAGGTAATCTCTCCAACCGAGCATCTCCTAAACATTCCCGATTCTGAAAAGTTATGGTTCGTTCTAGAATGGGTAATCAAGACCATTCACCGCCAAAACATCCAGACGTTGACGACAACACTCGCCGAAATGGTCAACATCGTTTAGTGTGTTGACAAACTGCGAATGGGCGAACAGAGAGCAGTGTCAGTGGCGAGCTATTCACAAGCATGTACTCTGTTTACGTATCTTGGACCCTATCTTTTCCTTACTGCCACAATCTCACAACCCTTTCATCTTTTATGTCCATTTGAGCTATTTACAAACAAGAGTTCGATGAACAAATCTGCATAAAGAGTAACCATGGATCTTACAGAAATGTAAACTTTTGAGAAACAGACAACCCAAACTTGTTCGCATGAGCGAAAAATTTAAACAGCCGCGATCGCGGATATTTCGAATTCTGGTGAACAAGTCAAGCATAACAAGCTAGAACTGATAAAGGTCCTGGTTTTATCCTTGATCATTAAGAACTCCGACGTATGTCTAGCGTTAACTAAAGAGTTATTGTGTCGAATGCGATCGGTTAGGTGGAAATATAATTTGCATTTGTTCCTTTAGTTTCTGCTACAAGACTTTTGTCTAGGTTGCATAGTTACGTTTCGAACGAAGGAAATAATCCACTTGGTATTTTCAGATAGGCAACCAGTCTTTTAGACAGATCTAGGAACTATTATTTCTCGTAGGAAGGTATCTCAATCACTGCTTCCTTTCATATGGACCATATCGCATAATCAAAACTTCGATCTTAGAAAAGAGTCCTTCTAATCAAATGTTCTGGACTACCATTAAGTATTGATATCGTTGCTGCGTAAAACAAGACCTTGGGAGCGTTCGACAGTCAAAGTAGTACGCTTAATTAGCAGGCACCTTGCACGCGAAAAACGTACTCAAAAACTGTCAAATGAGAAAAGAAGAGAAAAACAGTAATGTCAAATAATTTTCTGCTAGCACAAAATCCGGGATAAGGGAAATTTCGGTAAAAAAAAAGTGAAATCCGTTTAGCGCAACGTAACAAGAACACACATTGGAGAAATTAAGCGGCTTTAGAAAAGTACAGTGCTTTAGGCAGTCTCCAAAATACATATAAAGCTAATGACAAATTTTGCAAATGTATCTTGTCTAGTGACACAAATGACCAATTGAGTTCAATTTTCTTCCGAACATGGGTCATCATTCTTTAACAACCGCTGCAAATTGGACTTCATCTGCCGGCAAATATGCTACAAATTATACCTTTGTTGTACTTCCCTTTCGTACAGTTCTAACGACACCTACCTCCATCGGCGTAAATCTCGATTCCATAACCTTCTTGTAGTCCAGACGTCCAACTTCCCTCATAGCGCGCCCCGCTCTGAGACTTCTGCACGCCGTAACGTGCTTTGAAACCTTCCTCCCACTCGCCTTGGTAAGTCCATTTTCCTCGATATTCAACGCCAAGTCCATGTCTCCGTCCATCGAGCCATTCACCCTCAAAGCGATGGCCGTTAGGCCAAACATAAACTCCGCTGAGTTCGAAGCCGTTGTTCCAAGAGCCTTCGTAACGAGCTTGTCCTTTGGGTCCGGTACAGATGCCATATCCATGAGCCTTGCTGTTTTTCCATTCTCCGCAGTAAGTTCCACCATCTTCAAAGTCAAAGCGACCACCGCTCATAATAAACCGCGGCAAGCATAGCTCGCTAGCGAGTTAGTTTAAATCGGAAAAGCGAGTCAGTTTATAACCATCCTCTGATACGTCTTTACTCATCAATCTCCACGCGATGTGCGTTTGTTTCACTTGAATGACACCACGCAAATCTGCTCTCTCGATACCATGCGCATGCCCTGCGCCGAAAAGCCGCAAGCAGTTACGTTTCACTTTGAAAATTGTTTATTTTGCTGCTTCTTATTTCTTGTTTGTTTGCCAAGGATGTTGCCCGAGAATTTCAAATTTTTCAAGATGCTATTTTCTTAGAAAGTTTGGAAGCTCCGGCATCTAGAGATCTCGACGCGATAGTCAGATAACATAATAATCCATCCCACGTAAATAATTTTTCATTTTTTTTCGCGAGTTTAATGCATTATACGTTTACTAATAAGTGATCAATTAATTAAGCAAATTTAGAAAATTAAAGTTTCAGCCATGCGTGTTGTATATAAGAAACAAGATCAACTCACACCCCACAGAAGAGTATAGGCTGAGCTGTTTTATTTATTCATTTTTTTTTTTTTTTTTTCGCGTCATGAAAAAATTGCCCATGAACGATGAAGAAAAACACAGAATGGAATTATTTGAAGGGAAAAAGATTGGCTGTGCCAAGACTGGACTCCATTCACAGTTGCTTTAGCTGAAAATTTTTTAGGCCAAATGTTTTCATGACGTAAAATACTGTGACACGCTTAAGATTAATTAGTTCTGTGCAGAGTGGTCACCGAAGATTCGTGAAGCATTATCGGAGGTACCATATGTACAATTATCAATCATGAAATTGAATGAAAAGTTCAAATGTGTGGCTTAGGTATCATTACGTTCAATACAGCATGAAACTTGATGATAGTTATTTAAGCCTGCCATAGAATCATTTTCCTCGCAAGGGTAGGCTCCATTAAGACATAAGAAATGAAAACATTGCCAGTTTGTCTCTGTCTTTTAAAACTGCACATTTCCCGCTACGACCATAACTTTCACAAGCACAAATAAATCTGTCTCTTTCCGCAAGAAACTACGTATGATTTTCCTTTCTTAGTTCCTGTAGTCCGGGACAGAAATTGGAAGCATTGTCAATGAAAAAGTCTAGAACAGACGTGTTTATTTTTTCTAGAGTGATAGTTGGTTGCGTTTAAGTTCCTCCCGCTTTTGTCCAAATACGATGCGATCTCCAGCTGCGAAATCAAGACGAAAATAGCCAAGTGAGATATGATTTAGTGTTTTTGATTAACCTAAGTTTTCACATCGGGCCGTAAAAATCATGGGCTTAATTACTTTCATCTGCAGGCCTGAGTAATCAACACAAAAGCGCCGACAACACTTGCTTTGATTTGGAAGTCACGCCAACAAAAATGTCAAATGGAGATCAATTTCTATTGCGCGAATCGGTGACGAAATTCTCCTTTTAAGTCTTCCTGAGAGACGACTTCGCAGCTAGTTATCATCTTCTTCATCACGGCGAAAGTGGAAACTTAACGGAAGAAAAACAGTTACCGTTTAGGAGTATCAGATGGTGATATTGATAACTGTTCGGTCATCGAGGAAAAGTAAACAAAAGAGAAATAGAAGCAGTGTTTGGATCCTCTTCAAAACAAAGATTTTTTTGTTGAAGTAAACAACATTCCTGTACTACAATCTGTGAACTGTTACATTGCTGATCTGCTTGTAATCGAAAGGGACAATGTTTACAAATGTACTGATCATTTCCAAACTTTAAAAAAGTTTAACAACAAAACCAAACTTTTAATTCTTCTTTTGGACAATTCACCATAAAATTGAACTGGCTTTGATTATCAGATAAGTTGACACGTACAAGTGTTAGATATAGAGTGCCTTTATTCTCGCTCATGATCCTGGAATGGGCTTTTTGAGGGGAAATTGGCTAAGTTAAGCACCTATTACAAAAGCCTTGCGATTTAAAAGTGTAATGATACAATGATGTGATGAGTGCTGACCATCTAAGTGAGACAACAGGTACGTGACTTTGATTTTACCGAACGTGATCAAACGAAGAGTCAAATCTAAATTAACGAAATTGTTTACTTCCGGTTTGTTATTCTATTAGGTATGTATTGAAGACCCGAAGACAACTGTGCACTCTCCACGCACTATGTTTTCAGGGACGAGCGAAAAATTGGGTCGAGCGAAAAAAGAATAAGTTCAGTCAGCATTTGTAAACTGTTGACGATTTTAAAATTTTCTTTGTCTGTTTTGTGTGCTTGTTATTGCCAAAAGGTTTCCCAACGACGCGACTTTCAAATTATCACCCTCAATTTTTTTAAGCCGCTCAGCTAAGAATACTTTTTTATCTTCCGCTTCTAATGACTATCGGCCTCAATGGGTTCAATATGTCATTTTATCACAGAAATCATAATGGATTTGGCTCTGATGAATGGCCTAAGATAGGACACAAAATTAAAACAACTTCAATCCTACCTTTTACCGTATTGGTTGGTAGGCCTTCTCCACCATTAATTACGTAAACGGTTAGGGATTTTATAAGCTTTGACGACTGGAACAAGAAAATGCAAACCTTATTACGAAAAAACGTTTTGTATAGGGGATCACAGAATACTTTGATAACTGTAGTTTTTTAAGTCGCAAATCTGGTTTTAGCACATCGGACGACACTATAAAGATGAACTATTTATTTATGAGCAAACTGGTAAAGCTGAACCCGGCTTGAGCCTGCTGTACCTCAGTTCAGTGATCACCACTCCCGAGTGTGATGGTTGTTCCAGTTCATTTTCAAGCTTATACAAGAGAAGGGATTAAAAAAAAAAGGCTAATAAATGACTTTTGTCTATGAAAAAGGGCACCTCTTTTGTTGACCCTACCAAACTTAGCTAGATTTTTCTGTTACTTTTTTGTCGCTCTATGTGATGTAGCTATAGTCAGATGAAGTGTATTTCTGTTGTTTAGATTCCCTAGTTTAAATATCTCTTTATTTCATTTCTTTTCTTTTCATGATAGCTTTCCTTGGGCCATAAAAGCAAACCAATAGGTAAAAGTAAATAAGCCTAATTCATTAGAGAACGTGACCGTAAGAACATCAACTGACAACAAACAACAACGGATTCCCATAACCGTGGGTTACGTATGCAATCATTAAGTTATCAAAACGTTTCGGGGAAGAATTCGGAATTTCTCCAACCATGCCAATTCCCAAACCCTGTTACTAAGGCCTTACTCTGCTTTGTTCTAAGAATTGATACATTAGGATATCGTTTCTCTCCACAACAGTATTTATTTTCATAATTGAAACAAAAATTTTAGCATGCTGCTTAAACCCATGTCACGTTATCACGAACCTTTTCCCTAGTTCTTAGCATTTTTAAATTTTGCTTCTGATAAAAGCATTGGTAGTTTTCTCTTGATTTACGAAGTTCTTTGCAAAGTAGAAATTGAATCACTCTCTATTGAAGAACCTGTTGAAGGCCTGGAAACAGCTCTCACCCTCCCCTCCCCTGGAAATACTAGTTTGCCTAGACCAAGGCGAGTTTGTTATCAGGGACATTACACGTTTTTTATATGAAGGAAATGTTGGCCGCTACGGCTGACAGATAAGTGCTAATATTGGCCCTTGTCAAGAACAAATTCATGATTACGCATTTCTTTTGAAACGTTGCGGTGATATTGATGAGCAGAGCTCCCAGAATTGCCAAGACAGACATGGCTGCTCCTCTGAAAGAGTGCCCCGAGTTTTCTGCGTTGCAATCACACTATGAAGCTGCCTCCAAACTCCATATGCGTAGCCTCTTTGAGAAGGATCCTGGGAGATTTGATAAATTCAGGTAACAAATGCGGTGATCTTTCCCTTCAATATCGAGCTGTTGTTTGTTACATTTTGTTTAGATTGGCCTTGATATATGTTAACCGTAGCCATGCAGAGGTCTGCGTTCCTGGAATGTTTTTTAGTACCTGTGTGATTAAAAGTTCGGATCAGCTGTTAGAAGCGATCTTACTATTTTGACAAAAAACGGACATCGATATCTTAAAAAATGCGTGACCCCACAAAGAGATGTGTAAGCCTGCATGTATAATAGATCGACGTTTTAGCTTACATTTACTTCCAATTAAGAACAAATTCTTAACCAACGATTCTGAAACAATGGCTGTCATCGCTGATTTGACATAATGATGTCGATAGAACACTTAAAATTATTGATATTAAAACTTGTCAAGCTTGCGTGCAGCTTCATTCCTTTGCATTCTAGAGTTTAATGTATGCAGTTGTATAGATCATCAAAAAAATTCAATTGAGGAATGCAATTAATCCTTCTTGAGTTACTTACAGAATCATTTGATGGACCTACATGCATAGAGAGGGGCCAAAATGGAGCTCCACCCTCCCCCCCGCCCTCTCTCATTGAAGAGAGACTCAAAGGGCTTTGAACTCTGCTGTTTGTGTACAAAAGTAAACTCATCCTCTGAAGTTTGTTTAATTTTGTCATTGTTCCTTTGGGCTTTTTCAGCGTGCAACTCGATACTCGAGATGGTACCCTGTTGGTCGACTACTCCAAAAATATTATCACAGAGGAGACCATGAAACTTCTTATGAGTCTGGTATGTCAGTAGAATGGCTGTGAAGATAACAAGTTTTTATTCTTTTCAGGAAGGAATAGGCTTTGAAGAAAACATTCGTAGTGTTTTAAATTGAAGTAGTGACAAGGGTGTGATCTTTCTTGTTACAGGCCAAAGCTAGAGGAATAGAAAGTGCACGTCAGAAAATGTTTTCTGGAGAAAAAATTAATTTTACTGAGGTATGTTATGAATGGTTTTTTACTTTATAAAATAGACACATTGTAGGGTGGTAAAAAGATAATCAAATGCAATGGATAGACTAAGGTAGATTTCCTTGACTATTCTTTTGTATCCATTTGTACTCCAGGGACCCATTTCTTGAAAGTCCCAGTAACTTAACAGGCCCATAAAGCTGTTCTGGTTTTGATTCAAGGTGGGGATTTCAAAAGTTTTGAAAATTATACAACAAAACAGCTGATTAAAGAAACAAAATGGACTGGTTTGGGTAACGGAACCTGCTATTCTATCTTTAAAATTTTGAGCTTAAAAACATGGCTTTGGACCTGTTCAGTCACAAGGACTTTCGAGAAACAGGTCGCAGGCCCTTGTTATTGGAAGTGGGGATATTGTTATCCACATGATAAATCATTATCTGGTGAATAATACAGTACATGTTGTTAACACTTATCTGCTGGTTAGCTATTTTTCTGTTGGATGGGGCTATGTTCTCAGGAAAAGTGAAGAACAGCTCCCCCAAAAACTGTCGGCCGACTGTTGGCCAACAGTCAGCTGACTGTTGGCCAACTGTTGGCCGACCGTCGTTTGCCGCCTTTTACAAAAATCTTCTGCCAACAGTTGGCCGACTGTTGGCCATAATTATGTTGGCCAACTATTGGCAGCATGTCAGTAATTTGTTGGCCAAGTGTCGGTTGAGAACCCCTGTTGAATACCAGAAAAGCCTCAGCTCGCATGGAAGAACATTGCATATCGAGGCGAAATGAAACTTTCTCACTTGAGTCCGCCATTTTGTTTAGGTTTTTTTGGGACCAATCTCATCGCAATCTCCTATGTTTAGGTTTTTCAGGTACCAAACCCCTCACAATCCCATTGCATCATCGTCGCAAAAATTTGTATACAGCGGCTTCTTGCAGCTTTTTTTTTTTGCTTCACTAAAATGTAAGCAGCTTTTATTGTCTCTGACTAGTGACTACGTTAAAAAATGATAAACTAACTGAAAATATTAACCAAAAGTAAACTCAAACAGACAGAGATAATTGAAAGTCCATATATGACGCCCTAAAACAAACCGCAATGCATTATAGGGCGATTTCATGGATAAACTTACCCGGAACATACGATGGTGCAATTTTAGCTCAATTTGTGGTACATCATGTGACTGATTCTACTAGAACCGCCTCCTGGTTAGCTCAATGGATAGAGGGCTGGACTGTTGTGCAGGAGGTCAAGGGGTTCGAGCCCCGGCTGGACCAACACTCAGGGTCTTAAAATAATTGAGAAGAATTTGCTACCTTTCTATAACATCAAGAAATGGTTAGATATTCTAGTCTTCTCGGATGGGGACGAATAAATGGAGGTCCCGTCTCCTGCATGGTTGGGGTAGGAGACATTGATTTCCCACACACGAGATTACTGTGTGATGGATGTCCTCCCCTGGGGTGGGATGGGTGGGAGGGTGGACTAGCACGAATGGTTCCTATGTTCCTTTCTAGTCCTTCCCCACTGCAAAACTTAATGCAGTGAAAATGGACTAAATTAAATTAAATTAGAACGGTAAGGGTCGAGTAACTGTGATGTCTTTACACTTGTCAAATTTTTAAGTGTCAATTTGCTGTTGGTCAACTGTCGGTCAACTGTTGGTATACTGCCGGCCGACAGTTGGCTGACAGTTGGCCGATAGACTTTTAGGGGAGCTGTTCTTCACTTATACTATGTTCTCATTGCACAACTGGGTCCTGGATACTAAAGTGTCTCACATTAGAACAATGAACTGGCCATGGCTTGGTCCCAGTCCTCTCACTCCAGACCCCCAGTTAGCTAATGTGTATGCCACTGCTTCTCCCATAGCTGAACTGAGCAATTTGACTGAAGACTGTGCCTTTTTTTTTTTCAGAACCGAGCAGTTCTCCACATAGCTCTTAGAAACCGTTCCAATAAACCAATTAATGTAGATGGAAAGAATGTAAGTTTGCTTGTGGTACACTCAATTTCAACTGACTTTTGCCAATCAAAAGACTGACCATGAACTAGGCAAGTGTAACTAAGAGAAGTCATGAATTATATGCATTACATTCCTTGACTCCTTTAGAGAAATTTTTATTTTTTTTGTGCAAGGATACATGTTGCTCAAAGAGGGGTTATTAGGATTCTACTCTTATCAGACAAGCAATCTCTTGATTCCATAGATGTTTACTTTATAATTTATAATTTTTTTTAATAGGTAATGGATGAGGTTAATGCAGTTCTCAATCAGATGAGAAGCTTTACTGAGGTAGGTTTGAGTAAACAACTGAAAATTCCACAATAAATTAGACCTCTGCACCTAAAATTTCTTGATTGTGGTGAAAATGCATATTATGTTTGATAAATCATTCAAATCTATTGTAAATGTGATGTGCACTATAATCGTGCCAATAAAGGACTTTCACTAATTAGTAACTATTTCTTTGCACAATATGATATAATCTCACAAAGTAGAATTTTGGTTTTGCAGGCTGTAAGGAATGGCACTTGGAAAGGTAAACAAAAGTATTTTTTTCAGTAACATATAGAAATTAACCAATCAATTAGTGTTATTTTAATGATTGAATGATCATTATTTTGATAAGGATATATATAGAAACTTGTTTATTTATTTTGTAGCTTTTCTTCTCTTGGACTTAAGATATTATGTACTTTATGATTCACAGTTTCAGTGTAGTATTGCCTCCATTTCCTGAATATCTATTTTTAAGGAAGTCTCAATTTCCTTTCTTTCAAGGTCACACTGGAAAAACCATTACAGATGTTGTGAATATTGGAATTGGAGGATCTGACTTGGTAAACATGCTCTTTTTGCCTATAAAGGGTGATGCTATAACAGAGATACAGTAATAATATTCTCCAAGTACATTATTTATGCAGTAAATCGATAGCAATTTACTGTGTTTCAAGTGGTAATAAAAGTAATGATTTGCTGTGAAATAGGTAGGTAAAAACAAATAAATAAATGATGAACTTGTAAATACTGTTACAGTAATAGCTTAAAAAAAAACAAAACAAGCAGATATCTTTTATTTAATTAATGATGGAAAAAGTGTGGCAGTTTTTCTCTAGTTTCACATGAAAAATAGGAGCCAGATTAATTTAGATATGGAATAATTATTAAGGGAGGTACTTATAGGGCTTCTTCTTTATAATATCCATTTTAATTAAAAATACATTAATACTGTATTAAGTAAAGTTTGTTGCTGTTCATTTGTGATATATCATTTTTAAATTATTGATATGTACCTCTTTTCCCTTAGTGTAGCAAATGTTTTGGTGTTAGGGGGTGGAACACACAGAGATACCCAATTTCTCTATAACTACTAGCCATTATCAGGGCTTGACACTAACAGTAGCCCACTAGCCACAGACTAGTAGAAATTCAGTTTTGGCTAGTGGTTTTCAATTTCCACTAGCCAGTTTGGCAAGTAAACAAACTGAAATTGTTGTAACATCTAAAAACATCTAAGATGTCACTGGCCACTTGACTAGTAAGTTGAAAAGTTAGTGTCGAGCCCTGCATTATACATTTTGTAGGGACCACTGATGGTGACTGAAGCATTAAAACCCTACGGCAAAAAAGGGCTTAGTGTCCATTTTGTCTCCAATATTGATGGAACCCACCTGGCCAAGACTGTAGCAACTCTGAATCCAGAAACTACATTGTTCATTGTAGCATCAAAGGTAAAATAATATGTAACTGCACAAGACTTATTGTTCTAGTTGTTCAAATTTATGACCTTTTAATCATAACCATCCATTGGAAAATGAAAAGCATGTTTCATTTGTTATGTCACATACTGCCTAGTTAGTATTATGCAATCTATGTCAAACCATCAATCTTGGCATCCACTGGGTACACTTTATTTTGTTCAAGTTTCCATTGCTCTGGGGTTTTGCCCATTCCCTGTGCCTTGTTTGGTCTTTAATAGGCTCTGACCCTCTCTCCTATATTCCCTTCAAACTATCATCAGAAGAATAGTAAGGTTTGCCTCAAACAAACTTTGAAATAGTACTTAATTTGTTGTTAGTCTCTTTTACTGGGAGTTGAACAAGTGGTCAAGACAGAAGTTGGTTGACGACTTTTCCCTTCATTTATAAAGTGCTGCATATAATTATTGCATCCCTGAAGGAAATAGATTTCAAATTGTAGTCTCAGGTTGCTCTATCAACACTTTGACCTCTAAAAGTGACCAGCATCTAATTTCTCCTTAGAAAATCACCCCTAAATCAAGCGTTGAGGTCATGAGAATAAAGGAAATGATCACCAACTTAAGAAGCCTTTGATTGTTGAACAAATTCTCCTTTTCAAACACCTTAGTAAATGTATAGAAAACAGTATGGAGAATATGCATACTGATGTTTGGGTGTAGAGGGTTAATAACTCCTAGAGCTACAATTAGTCCCTTAGTTTTTTAAGAGTTATTTGCATGTGACTACAGTACTGTGTTAGTAAGTATGTAGAATGTTACTGACTTTTATCTGTTTTTTCCCCAGACATTTACCACCATAGAAACCATTACAAATGCAACATCAGCAAGGGACTGGCTGCTGAAAGAGTTAAAGGATGTATGTCTGTCTCACCATTTTATCAAAACCCACAGATTTCTATTTATATCCAGTTCAATACTCTCAAGATTAATACTTCAGAACAGCACAGATGTCTTTTAGCCTCTGCTGGCACCTGGAAGTTCAATATCTTGCTTAGTTGTTTAGAAAATTTTTTCCAGTAGCATCAATTTTTAATCAGAAAGCAGGTTTAACTTTAATTTTTGCATTTTTAAGGATATCTTACACTCATTATTTGATCAGGTCTTTTGGGTATTAATGACTTTGCATTCCCCATCTCTTTGTAGAAATCAGCTGTGGCTAAGCACTTCATTGCCCTTTCTACAAATGAGGTATGACAAATAAATTTTGAGGCTTATTTAGTTATGCAAATTAATTTCTGCATTGGCAACATAAAAAGGTGCATTTCACATTTAAGAAATAGTTACTCTTAGGGGGCATTTGCTGTGAGTCAGAGCTGGTCGGGTAACTTGGAGATAATTCACTTTTGAATCTGTTCCGAAATTTCCAGGCAATTATCAGTCTTTTCTAAATTTGCATCAACTGAATGGTAAAAACCTTGGAAAAATGAAAATTTATCTGCCAGTCTATTCCAACTTCTTGTAGAAAATAATTCCCTTAGTCTGGCATGTGTATAATTACCTCTGTATACTTAGAGAGCCCATACCTCTCTTTTAGAGGTGCTCATTGATTTCAACAACCTGAAGAAACCAGAAAAAAAATGATCGTTACTCTTTTGATTGGTATCTTGGTTCATTTTTTATTTCTCCTCTCCCTCCCCTTAAAAGATTGCTTGGTTATGGTTAAAAGTAGTCCAAAATATTGGCCTTCTCCTTGCCACAAGACAGGTAACTTTTTGGAGTTGGCGAGGAGGGTGCACTGGTAACAAGAGCACAATTCTGGCCTTTCCTCTCCCAATATCTGAATGTTAATTCTCTGCTCTGTCTGAAATAGATTTCTTATAATTAAGCCTTGGGATTATGGTAGTAAATCAAACAACATTTCCTAATTGATATTTCTTTCCCCTTGTAACTTCTCCTCTCAGTGGTGTAGGAGAACTTTCGTGTGGGTCACTCCTGGCATTGAATGGGCTGAAGCCATGCAACAATAACTTCACCTAGATTTTGACCGGTCCTGTTCAGACTTGAGATCAAGGCACAAGCTTTTAACCTTTTTTTTTTTTTCCCACAGGTGGAAGTCACTAAATTTGGAATTGATAAGAAGAATATGTTTGCATTTTGGGATGTAAGTACAACTTTACATGTATGCATTTAAAAGAACTGTGACTGTCTTCGAAAGTTCCCTCAGATAGGGGTTGAGTGGTTGAAGTTATAGAAAATAGGCAACATGAATATTACTAAACAATAAAAGTGATTCCCATTTTACTTTGAATTCATTGTTTTCTTTTCAGTGGGTTGGAGGACGATATTCCCTTTGGTCAGCCATTGGAATGTCAATTGCTGTTTACATTGGTATAAATCTGACTTCAGTGAATCATTGTTTTTTTTTTTTTTATCCATAAGTGAATTGATAAATCCATTCATAACTTGATCCATCATCATTAACTCAGGTGGTCGATCAGTCTCTCAGTCAGTGACAGTTAGTTAAATTAGTTGGTCAGTTGGCCAGTTAGCGACTCAATCCAACTTAACATTATGATTAAGCGCTCAGTTAGTTGGTTGGTCCTCTGGCTCACCAGTCAGTTTTGTTTCATATTTCCTTGGCAATAGCTTCTTGTCTCCATTCCAAATTACTATTTTTGCCTTATTATTATGAACAACAACAAAGTTGGATGCCTTTCAGGGTGAGTTCTTATTACTCTTTCTTTTGTCTTTTGTAGGAATGGATAACTTTGAAGCTCTTCTTGCTGGGGCACATGCAATGGTTAGTACAATTAGATGCTCTTAATTAGGCAAGGAGTTGTTCAAAGAATTACTCAAACAAAAATGACAGGAGTAGTCAGAAGAAACTTAAAACAAAGCTTGTTAAGCAGGCATAATTTAAAGTGCCCATAATGTCAAAAAGTTTAAAAATGTTTTTAAATGTTTTTTGCTCATCTAATTCTACATTTCACCAAATGGACTTCTGCGAAAAAAAAATTTTCGATTTGGATAAAAGGCAATTTTTTTTATAATTTTTTAAAGACCTTCAAGTTTGCCGCCATTTTGGTCCACCATTCGCACCAGTCTTCCTCGGTTTAAAGTGAGTCGTGATATAGGTTCAGGAACACGTGATTTTGGGTTGTGACTTATCTGACTTGAAAAGCAAGTGCTCTGTTATTCCTTGGCAAAAATTATTGCTGCCACCATTTGAGTTAAACGGCAGTGGAAAGCTGGGCAGAGTAAGGAATTTGCACTAAGGGGGTGAGTGATGGTCAAAAATAAGGAGAAGAGAGGGAATGGGACAATAGAAGTCAAAGCAAAAGAAATCTTACACCAGTACCATATGACAAAATGGCAAACTAACTATTAAAACCTACGTTATTACAATGTTTGTTTTAGGACAATCACTTTTGTTCCACACCTCTGGAGAAAAACGTAAGTATCCAATTCAAAGCAGAGCATTCACCGAATCAAAATATGGCGTCCAATCTGAATTACCATTGTTTTTGACTTACTAGCCTCGTCTTCATGTGGAAAACACAAAAGGATTATCACATGTGTGAGAGGCTAGTAAGTCCACAACAATGGCAATTCAAATTGGACGCCATATTTCGATTCGGTGTATTAGTTTTTGGAATGTCAAATTCACATTTATTTGCTGCAGTTATTGTGGCTCTAGGGAAAGTATTTATGATATTAAAAGGGGTGGAGGGATGTTGTAAGAGATAAGGTAGTTTGAATTTACATATTGGTGAAAAGCTTTCATGATGCTACTGATAAATTTTTTGCCCCCACATGATGTAGTATACTATAAAAGAAAATGTTCTACTGATCAATTTTTTGCCCCCACATGATGTAGTATACTATAAAAGAAAATGTTCTACTGATCAATTTTTTGCCCCCACATGATGTAGTATACTATAAAAGAAAATGTTCTTGGGTGCCCTTTTCCAGTTAAAAGTTGTTGATATAGGTGTGATGTACACAATGGTACAAAAATATGCGATGAATTAAAATTGCTTACTCTTCTATTTTTTTCGGAAACAGATTCCAGTAATCCTTGCAGATTGTTGAACAAATTCTCCTTT